GCATCACTTTCGATTCAAGCGGCTAGGGCTGGCAGATTCGGCCAGGCAACGTGCGTTGGGTCTTGAACAGATTAGCTTTCAGACCTCTGTGGTGGTCTCCTTTGCGTGCAGGCATTCATGAAGAGCACAAGCATGCACAGAAATGTGATCGTGCCTTGAACATTCACTGACAACCCATATGACTTGGCATTTGTTGGCGTCAATGCTTGCCCTATTTCGCTTCATTGGAGGCACGTGTGTGCGTGTTCCATTCCTGCAAGACTGGCACCAGGCGAGAGCTCTGCTAACCCACCAGTCGTGGGTTTGAAGGTTCGTGACACGAAGAGTGGACGTAGCATGGCTTAAGACATACATCGCTGTCAGAACTCGTCGACCTTTTGTTGGGTTAACGACAACCGCATGCAAGGTTCGTGCAGCATGGCTGCCTCTTAGTGAAAAACCAATAAAATTGAGCAGACCTGCCAATCTTCGGCACTGCAAACGTTCGGGCTTTGTTCAACATGGAGTGAGCAGGTTTGCTGAATGTTAAAGTACCTCATAGTACCTCCATCCGTTGCGTCAAATTTGGGTACAACGGGAACAAACTACAACTGAGGGTAGTCTAAAACCCGCATCGCGCAAGGTTCACGCAAGGCCGGCGCAATGTTTTGCGCAAGGGCTACTTACTAGTTACCCGAATTTCTACGAAAACTGCTGTTCTTAGCTTGTGCTTTGTGGAGTGAAACTGAAACTTGTGAGGTCTTAACCGGTTTAAGACTTTAAGTAACCTTCAGAATGCTTCTTGTCTCCACAATGCACGTCTTAAGGTAACTCCTTCAGAATGTGGCCAATCAGAATGTGGTCAATTCAGGATCAAACATTTGCGCAAGGTTCGCGCAAGCTCTGCGCAAGCCCTGCGCAAGCGCGTAGAACGGGACTGGCCATGTCGACTTCTTTGAGCCAGCTGTTTCGGCCGTGTTGCTTTTAAACTCTCCGCTCGTGATAGCGGTTACACACCCACGAAACCAGGCAAACCAAAGCTCAGACACACACCACTTGCGCTCCGCTCCATGACGCACCTCACAGTCCTTCCCCATTGGGTACCGGAGGTTGGGAGTTCAAGACTATGTAGCAACACATGCAGCACGGAAACGCAAGGTCAACCGGTCTATCCCCAGGTTAAACCCACCGCGAATTATTATCATCAGCTTGTATCTCAAGTCACGTGAATTACGAATTCACTGGTCGAGGCACATTTTGTCAAGATTGGTCGTATTTCGTACACATATTTTCACACATTGGTAGAGATTATGGCGTTTCATGAATGGAAGATCGGTAGGCAAGGTGGCAGAAGCAAGGGAGCAGTCCAGATTAGGCACCAACAGAAGGCGCGCACTTAGTGGATAGGGCTGGCCAGGCAAGCCTGACCTCGTTGTGGCAACGTTGGTCGAGAAACCATTCCACCGATGAGACTACGGTGGAAGCCTAGTTTGACCATGGTTGAAACACCCTCAATCTGAACAGAATAGACACTTTAGTCTTACTGTGTTCGCGCAAGATTCTCCCAAGGCCGGCGCAAAGAGAGTTTTCGGGCAAAGGTATTTTGGACGACTGCCAACGGTCAATTTGGGTGGCCTGATTTCAGCCGAGTCATCCTAGTGGGCTTTCTGGTCGAGTTTGGCTCGTTGGGTCCAACAGATGCCGGGAAAAACACCGGTCGGACCTTCCAAAACGTTGGGATCCACACCGTGTTCTCTCGCGACGCTCACGTCCGGGAGAACGACTTGTCCTTGAAGCCGAGCACCTCACTCGTTTCGCCGCGCGCTTCGTGCAGCTGTTCGGAGCGAGTGGTGCGGACGGTTGACGCGGTGCGTGGCAGCTGAGCGGAGGGTTTCAAAACCAAACAGATTTACCCTTGATCCTTTCAGATCCTTTCCATCCCTGACAGTTGACTGACAGACGAAATGACAAACCAAACGTTTTGAAATTCCACAGATCCTTTGAGTTGCAAGTAAGATCGTGGTCTCGTCCGACATTGGGCGAACGAATCGGCTAACGAAGTTCATTTCCGACCAACATGAACATGATGGAGAACAAGAGGTACACGACATTCAGGTAGGACCACTGACAGGTAGGAGCGCTTAGTGATAGCTCATGTCCTTCGCAGCTAGGACCAGCCTTAAGCGTTCACCTTGGCCTTCGTGTGGCCACTTTCGTGCGGCGCTTATGATATCGATCTCATTTCCTTCGCAATTGTCCAACCCCAGTTGGTGTGGCCAGTTTTAGCTAAGCGTCACCTTCATTCCATGTGGCCAATTTCGCTGGGGAACACCACTTCAAAGCTTTGTGGGTGCATTAGTTGTGTAACTTAGTCAAGGAGGCTCTCGGTGTCATGAGCAAAGCTCAGAGCCAAGCGCCAATGTTTTAAGTGGTTCTGTTTGGGGCTCAACAAGTGCGTCGGGTAATGCAGGCATACCTGACACGCCTCTGCAAGGGCAGAGACAGAGAAGTGTTTGGCCTGGTTGCCGTCAGCCCAACGGTGTAGCGTGTTTGGCAGTAAATTCTTCACAGATCTCTCATTCCTCATCTTTGAAGTGCGCGACGTGCTTGAAGACTGTCGCCAGAAAAATGATAGTTGAAACAATGCAATTGACCAAAAGAATCACTGCAGCCAGGTTAAAGAACAATAATCCGTCACATCCAGACGCCCAAATCCGATGATTGGTTTTTGAAGTTGTGAAGGTCTCCCTGCCTTGGCCTCGGAGAAACACAAGATATCCCTACTTGAAGTTGGGTGATCAAGAACAGAGCACCAGTGTCCCCTGCCTTCGGAAAAGGGTGCATGCAGCGGCGACGTTTGGTTGCTTTCCACTTGAAAGTAGGGGACCTATTTGTTCCTTTGTATTTAGTCACACAGCATGTTGTTTACATCAGATTCTCGCTGAGAAGATGTTGAAGCAACCTGACGACGACCCAGTTGGATGTATATTGAATTATAATACAACGACCGGGGCTTTTGACGCCAATTGGCAGAGGGAAAAACGATAAAATCCCAACGTTCCGCCCAACGCGGGGAGGTCTGGTGAGGTGAGGTGAGGTGGGTTGACCATGGTTGACCACCAGTGCAAGACTCTCGATTTGTTTTGGCAAGGTGTTTTTTCAAATCGTTGACTCGATATTGTTTTGTTACATCCCCCTCAACGGCTCTATCTCATGCACGACCAGAACATGATGGGCCACTTTCTACTGCCACTGATATATGATGCAAGGTTCTGATGAAAGGAGCCCCTAAACCTCTTATGGTGAAACAAGGCGTTGGGCTTCATTTGAACATGACCGGTGAACTGCAGGATTTGTTTTCCCGATTAGTTTTTCAGTGGCTACTAGGGGCTCCTGGCCGTACTGCTAGGAACAAGGACGCTACTAGGAGCAAAGAACGTTGGTACAGGCAAACCCACAGTTGCTTCCGAAGCTGCAAGCTGGACGCCTGGCCTCGAATTTCTGCCTCGAATTTCTCCGTCGCTTGCTCCGGTCGGTTGGATCAGAGATGTGTTGAAGTTTTGAAGGGCTGACACATTTCTGGTCTGGATCTTTGTTTCTACATTCATTTATTGTATACATGTATGTATATATATAATGTACACATTAAACTATGGCATGTTGGAGATTCATTAAGGCGTTGGCTCAGTGGGAGAACCCCATGTCACCATGATGCGTCGTATTTTTTGCTCTGACAGGCGAACGATCAGATGCTTCGAAGTAATTAACTCACTTGGTGCTGTACTCAAGATCTTGTCCAGTGTGAATGATGTGTTGCAAACAGCGAGGGCGCCAGCGTATGCGAGAATACTTACCCGCGGTCGTCAGGTTTCTCATGAAATGATTTACCAAAGGGCCACCAAACCTGACCTTTTTTTGGTCGCAGGCAGAGGCCATTTGGAAAGTGCCCAGGGTGATGTGATTTGTTGCCGAGGAAGGAGCAAGCATCCTCACAAAGCACCGACCTGCTTGGAGTTCGGCTAGGATTCCTTACTATGACAAGGCGTCTTCACCCCTTCTCAGTACGTGCCAGCTCTTTGTCCGGGATCTGGAAGATCATTTCAGGTACTTCAGATGGAGCAGGATGGAGCAGGATGGAAATGATCCATGACACTGTCGCAAGGGTCAACAGGACATGTTCGGAGCATGTCACATTGAATGTACTTTGATGTGGTCGTGACTTCCCAAGCAGTTGTCATCAAAGAAACGGACGCACGCAGCTTGTCAAGATGTCTTCGCGTCCAAAAGAGCTATGACTTCAGCTGTGTTTGGTCAATCTTGCATCCAAGTCAACTGCCCTTGGTTTAAAAGGTGTGATTTCTTCCCTGATTCTCAGTTTGGTGCTTCACATAGTGAGCCGGACTGACGCATGGTTGACACAGCAGGTTCGGTTGTTCAGCCGGCTCCGGGTTCCTTGGTCCTTGCGCTCGTTTGGGGGGGGTTGTTTGGGATCAAAGGAGTTGAGGGAACGAACAAACGCGCCACGAGGGAACCCTCGCCGGTCCATCAAACAACAAAGACCCATACCTGGACCCTCCAACAGGTGCTTCCTGGTGACAGGTGCCCAGAAACCACCTGTTAGGGTCTCCAAACAGCCTGTCGGAGGGCGTGCAACGTTCCACACCCGGTCCGCTCGTCCGTTCCTGCAAGGATGGGGTGGGCCACGTCGATCCGGTCCGTGCGGAACGAACCACGTCCGAGCAAACTGGCCCTCCTCATACAAGATGGTGTGTCTATTAAGTATTGTGAAGGAACTAAATCATAAAGAAGAACACATAGAAGCGCAATCCAGTCCCCTAATCCAGCTTCTTCGTCTGACTGGACGAGGTTGGGACGGAACAAACAGTGACCATGAGTAACCATGGCGAGCGAGTCGATGTGGTGTTGTAAGGCCATTCAGGCTGCATGAACCATTTACGAAGTCACGGCCCTCTACTCTTGTGAAATCGCATGAGTGGTCGAAGACCTTGCTTCGCGTGCAGGTGGATGTGGTGATGTCCCAGGTGGGCTCCAGCGGGTCTCCCTTCGACTTTTTGGCGAGCTTCGCCGGGCCCATTTGCACCTCGGAGCTCGCAGAAAAGGGGGTGTGGGCGAGATGCGCTCTCAGCGCGGGCGGGAAAAGAATCCATGGAGTTGATAGAGATGGACCACATATTAACATCACTGAAAAATTGACGATTGAGATGATTGGAATTCATGGTTGTCATGGTCTGAGATTCTTTTGGTGAACTGGTGAAATGATCTGGCACACGAGGCATGTCCTCATCGAAATTCGGTCGACGGGGTGCAGGGACTCGGGTCGACGGCTGTTCGACTGACGAGGGCCACGAGGGGCAGAGACCAGTGGACAGCTGCCAGGCGGAAAGGTGCACTGAAGTCTCTTCAAGTCTTTCCACACCGGTTCCGGTGCAGCCGGGCCTGCTTTCCTGCCCCAGGCTGTGAACCCGAGCACCTGGACCGCCATGTTCCCAGAACACCTTGCCATGTTCCAACATGACACGAGTCTGTGACCGGAACTTTGGAATCCCACTGACCTGTCAAAGCCTGTGACCTGTCAGTCACCCCCAACAAAAAAACAAGTTCAGTCACTTTAACTGAAGCAAGAACCAGCTACTCTACTGGGTTGAACTCTCAAAGACTGATCTCGTTCGGGGGTTCTCTTAATCGGTTTCAGCTCGCTCTTCGCTCGCCTCGCTCTTTCTCGCATCCATCGACCTGAGGTTGGCTCATCGCCGGGCTTTTGCTCCTCTTTGGCGGCTTGCTGCTCGGATCGCGGCTTGCTGGTCGGGGATGGCACGAGTGCTTGGCTTCACATGGGATGGCACGAGTGTTTCACCTCCCCAGCTTCGGGTTCTTCAGCTCTTCCATCCTCTGAAGCAGATGTAGAAGTACCAAGCGCGCTTCCTGTCTGGGTGTCCAATGGTGATCTACAAGCAGTGTAGGGTTGTCATTGGTAACCCCATGGAAGCAGCTGGTACAGATCCGTTTAATTAAAGCAAATTGACATCATTTTAGGCCTTTGCAGGCTTCCGATATGCAGCTGTGAGCAAGCCCCACAATCACAACCTCTCATGTCGAAAGTTCAAGATCTGATGTAGTACACCTGTCGACATGACCTCGCCAACCTTTAACTTGTCTCACACCGATCTGTCTGTGTCTCAGAGCGCCACCACTTCGACACTTCGACGCCCCTCGGGAGCTCGACGGACCGAAGGACCGAAGGCATTTGAGGAACGCAGGCATTCAGGGCGCAGAGGTGTAAGACATGTATGACCCAATACTGTATTCAAGTTGTTCAATCATCTACTTTGGCACTGCTGGCACGAGGATTATATGATGTAATCCGAGGAGTTCTTTAGAAGCATTCATCAAATGGATGTAGTTGGATGTAGTTGGCAAGTTTACACCTAGTGCAACCTGAACATATGCAAATTCATGCTGCTTTGGAGGGGAGGCCATTCGGGTGGTATACGGGAGGGTTTTTGTGTGAAGATTGATCACGTAGAAGACTGCCAGTTGCTCTGGGGCGAATCGTTGAGAATCTTGGGTCGAAGTTGAAGACTACCTTGTCAGCTGTGGATCTTCCAAGTATGAACAAACAACGCCTACCTTTTCATCTATGTACGAATCCAAGAGGCAGAACTTTTGGAAGATTTGGGTATGTTCTATAACCCATCCAACACTTGAGCTACAGAGGCCTTCTCAAGATGATACTATAGGAACGATTGGCGAGGAAAAGCCAATGATTCTCCAGGCACCACGCATCTCTCGCGCAGGGGTGCAACTTCTTAATGTGGTCCTCTGATTAATAAACGCCCCTAGAGTAATGTCTTTTTTTTTCCTGCACTGATTAATAAAGGCCCCCAGAATAATGTCTTTCTTTTTTTTGGCAGGGATAGTTGTAGTGAAATATGTTTAATTCCCGAATGCGTAGCGAAGGGTTCTCTTTTAACTCTGGGGGTCTGGGGGTAGAGTCTTGTTCGCGACCCGTTGCTTCTATGTTCGCAACCGTCCGCAACCGTTCGCAACCGTTCGCAGCCGTCCGCAACCGTCCGCAGTAGGTCGCTAAGGCGCTGCCATTGGGGGAAGCTTTTGCAAGTGACTTTTCATGGATGTGTCACGTGTCAGTTTGCGCCGCTATTCCATTGTGATTTGCATGAAAATGACATGTCGCGCAAGAAGCGTGATGCATTTCACTGCACAGGCGCAGCGTTTTGTGAGATCCGCAGTTTGCTACGCAGCTCCATTGGGATTAGCGTTTGGAGAGTTGTGTTTTTGGGGTGTTGGATGTGGCCGTGCCATTGGGATTTGCGTTTCAGGGTGTGGCATCGAAGCTCTGTTTTCGTGACAAGTCTCAGCTGAAATGCCGATTTTGGACCCTGGGAGTGTGCTCAGAACGGGTCGAAATCATTCCAAACGTGTGGTGTGGTGCAAATTTTGTTGAAGGCCACATGAGATGACATTGTTACTTTTCGTGGCAGGCGCAGGACTTTGTGCAGGTTTTGAGGTGTGGAAGTGGGATTTTCGTGGCAGGCGCAGGCAATCGTGAGGTTGCGATGTGTGACGGAGGTGACATTTCGTGGCAGGCGCAGTACTTTGTGCGCGTTAGACGTGTGGACGCGGAAAGATTCGTGGCAGGCGCAGGGAATCGGGAGGTTGTGAGTTGTGGTAGAGGTGAATGTCGCTGTCACATTGGGATTGGCGTGTGGGCGGGTGTCGTTTGGAGGGGCTGGAATCGCGAAATTGCTTGGCAGGGCTGCGTGATGTGTGTGCTCCGATGGGTGTTTCCGCTGGACTTTTGGAGGAAGTCTCGTGCGAAACGCTCGTTTTTGAGACTTGACGCGTGACTTTTGGAGGAAGTCTCGTACGAAACGCTCGTCTTGCAGCCTCGCAGCGTGACTTTTGGAGGAAGTCTCGTACGAAACGCTCGTTTTGGAGACTTGACATGTGACTTTTGGAGGAAGCACAAGAGTGTCCCACAAGAGTGTCCCGTATGAGTGTCCCACAAGAGTGTCCCACAAGAGTGTCCCGCATGT